AGCGATTCACAACCTCGATAATTTCGCTCTCTACGAGTGCAAAACACACACTTTACAGCTCACTAGCTCGAAACTAATAAAATCATAAATTACACAGAACTCACTGTGACAACTGTTCGCTTTATCATTCCCTGGCTTTTCTCTGCCAGGCTTATATACTAACAAAGAGGCGTCTTGATCATACTCAGACTTCCTCGATAATTCGAGAAACTTATCAGCGTCACGTGACTTCCGCTGTTGTAAAATACGATGAGATATGACGGTTACACTTCACATATTCTAAATCGGACGAAATTTAACCAAGTTATGACTGGCCACATCATCAGCAGAAAATCCATAGTTAATGACAGCATTTCTTGTGTAACCTACGGGTCTGTTACTTGAACCTTCTTCTTATTCGCACGTCGTTACATCTGTTTTTAAGATGATAGCACAACAGAACTTTAACAAATTGCTCCAAGCCAGGCTAACCGTGACTGGAACTTTGTTGCTCTTCGACATGTAATCATGAACCACGTTTATTCTCTCGACTACCTGCATTTGCAAGGTTTCGAAATATTCGACTTGCAACCTGTGTATCTGTTGTGGATGTTATCACGACGGACTTTTTGACAACCGTTGTTGAGACAAATCCATATATCAAGCCCAAAAATACTGTGGCAGCACACGAAAATATATTTGTTACTGACAAAAATAGTAGTAGTAGTAGTAGCAGCCTTTCGCCAAATCAGAAGATCAAGAACAAAGTATCCAACAATGAAGAAATGTTGTATGATTTGATGTGAGAATCAAGAAAGAAACAATAAATTATTGTGTGTAATCGTTGCTAACAAAGTGATGGGTCCACTCAGAAACCCCATGTCTCTTTGCTCATAACTCCTGACTGAAATGCGTTACCCTATCTTATGGATTGTATAGTTGGGTAAGCAGAATTTCCAACAGTATATGCAACACCCCAAAAATAATTACCAGAATTTCTTGCTCCTTGTCCTACCGTCCCAAAAATACTATTTGATGAGGAAGATTGGTTTGTTTGTTTGTTATGAATTTCGCGCAAAGCTACTCGAGGGCTGTCTGCTCTAGCCATCCCTAATTCAGCAGTGATAGAGTAGAAGGAAGGCAGCTAGTCAACACCGCCTACCGCCAACTCTTGGTCTACTCTTTTACCAACGAATAGTGGGATTGACTGATCACATTATAATGCCTCACAGCTGAAAGGACTAGCATGCTCGGTGATGGGGATTCGAACCCACGACCCACATATTGGGAGTCGAGCGTCTTAACCAGTAGGAGATGCCAGGCCCACGTAAAGAAATCCAGTCTAGTCTGCACATACTATATCAGCTTTTTCTTAATTTTTATCTAAAATATTTTAAGTCTATAAAACATTTTTTCATAATAAAAATTGATGTAGATAATTAAATATCCGTTTGATTGAGATGATGACATTCATATTAACACAGCATCTCTCCCTCATCCCCACCAAACATGCTCGCTCTTTCAATCGTGGAGGCGTTATAATGTGATCCGTCAATTCCATTATTCGTTGGTAAATAGTAGTCCAATAGTTGGCGGTGGGCGGTGTTGACTAGCTGCCTTCCTTCTACTCTATCACTGCTAAATTACTAAGGTGGCCAATATTAAACGTGTTTAAATAATTGCATTCCTAAGGTGTCGCTCGCGTTCAGTAAAATAAGTTGAAATAAGTAGCACTGTTTTAATGGTAGCTTATGAGTAACAGTCGACTTCGATTTGATAGTTTAGTAGTTCTTCGAACATGTTATTTCAAACATGAATAATTTTCTTGCATTTTCAATTGTTATTTAAGTTTGATTATTTGAAAATTATATTGAACCAATTAAAATTGATTCTGTGTTTAGTAGTATTTATTTCTGGATTAAATTCAATTTAGGAACCGAGAAATTATTCACAAAGAGGGGTGAAATGATATCGAAAAAATATATTTAATAATGCTCATAAAAACGTTTAATTCATTCATTTGTGTTTTGAAAAACAGGCCAATGTAAAGAGAAGCATAAAATGCGTTTTCTGTTACGTATGCGTGATTTTTCCATAAGAAAACAATGAACATTTTTGTGGTTAAAAAATAATTTCTCACTCAGAATATATTTTTGATGGAAAAGGAAAAGTAGAATTACCAAACAGAACCCTAAGTCTGTAAAACAGGTTGCTCGTTTTAAATTATTATATCCAGAAGACAAATAACAATTTAAATAACATAGAAATGCTTTTGATAATCTTCTTTGTTTTTCTAAGTGTGTCTCTAGTAAAGTTCTAGAACCTTAGTCTATAAAATAACTGTTTATCATAAATTTAGATTTATCATTTATATATATGCTGCTTTTCTGAAAGCTTTAAGTTTGTTTATTATTTCTGATCTGTTTTGTGAAAGTGTTGTCTGCTGATGGCGTGTGAAGATTTTTGAGAAAGTACAGAGAGACTGTCAAGGGTTGTTCAAATGTTCGAAACCAGAGAAATACAGAGACAAGTGTCTGCAGTAAGGAAGTGGTGAGCACGTTATAAAACTAAGGTTCTGTACACTAGATAGCACAGAAAAAATCCCACAAGACCAATAAAATCACATAATGAATCGCCAGTATACTGTCCATGGACCAAAAATATGGACCTCAGGATAGCAACTGTAGTTGTAATGAATGACCTAATTGTAAGAAACAGACTTCATAGGTCCAGCTTAAATTCGAGAAAACCTGCTTCAGTGCCTCTGTTGAACAGTACATCTCCCTTATAATTTCGTCAAGATCATTAGGATTGGTAGGAACGTCCCTGTACCCTTCGTATCTTAACAGTTATCGATGAATTCGTGTCTAGAGAGCCAGACGTAAACGAAATGTTCAATGCAATATCGATAAATATAACACTTCGGCAGTGGCAAAGCTAAGGTGTGAGGAGCATAAGTATGAATAGATTTACAG